CATATACCAGAGAGCAGTTATGTTCGAGGAATTATGTTCTTAAAATAGCTAAATTGGTTTGAGGAAACGGCATAAGTGCTGGCAAGTGTAAAACTGTAAAGTGCTTGTAGTAGAGCTGTGAAGAATAACTAAAGATTTCAAGCCTAAGTAGTAGTTAGTTTTTTCAAATGGTGTCCATCCTGTGGCCTGGGAGTACATTCTTACAAACTGAGTGTTTCATACCCCGAATTTCTCTAAAACCAGTGCTGCCCGCCACCTGCAGCCCATCCATGCTTGCCTTCAGGAAATGTCTGTAAAAACAGGTCTTATAATAAGGTAGGAAGATCAACAGATCTGTGCTGAAGTGAACAGGAACAGGAAGTGCATTCCAGAGTTAAAGACCATTCACTGAGAGTGCTTGTTGTTCCCTTTGGTTTGATCCAGGATGCTGCTAGCATGATTACCTCGGATAATCTCGGTTATTGTAATGTTGCATGTGTACTAGATGTGTACTTTGTGCCAATACATTTTTTTTCATGCTGTAACTTTAGTAAAATTGATAAAACTTGTGGACTGTGGTAGCACTGAAGGTATATTTATTTATGTCATTTCTCTGTTTGTTTGGCACATTGCTCTGTCGAGTCAGGGGTTTCTCCCAGAGTTTCACAATTGACAGTAAAGCCTACTAGAAACTGCCTTTTCCAATGAACTTCTAAAGTGGGAAGTGGGTCTGTTTCGGATCTTGTTCATAAAGGCAAACGTTTGATTGTATGGACTCCATTTTTTATTACTGACCTTTATGTGAATTTTCTTTGTCTCTGTGGATCAGAAATGTTATTAGAATGAAACATGTATTGCATGATGCACTAATCAGATTGCAAATAATCATTTACTTTAAGGACTCTTGTAACAAAAGAAAAACTGATTTGTACAGATCAGTGTTGCTCAGCCTTCTGGTCCTGGGGATTGGATGAGTAGTGTGGGCTGGATCTGGCATGCTGGATCTGGTTGTGGAGAGACCCATGTGTGCTGGATCCAGCTGTGGGGCAAATGCTTGCACCGTAGTAATGTGGCACGCCAGGCTGTCATCCAGCCTGCAGGGCTGTCGGTGGGTGTTGGACTTTGGCAATGGGGGAGTGGTACCAATGTTAATGGCTCTGGCTCAGAAGCCACCACTGATACAGACAGTGGGGCAGGTCCTTCGTTTAAGGGGTTTTTTGATGCTTCACTGATAAATTTATTCTCCTGCTATGAGAGACTGTGTAGGTAACTCCCTCAATAAATCTTAACCTAAGAAATTTGGAAACAGTGGGTTGTTTGTTTGTTTGTTTTCAGTTGTGTTGATTGGAGACTCTGGGGTTGGGAAGAGTAATCTCCTATCACGTTTCACACGCAATGAGTTCAACCTGGAGAGTAAGAGCACCATTGGGGTGGAATTTGCCACCAGGAGCATCCAGGTGGATGGGAAGACGATAAAAGCACAGATCTGGGACACTGCAGGGCAGGAACGATACCGTGCCATCACCTCAGCGTAAGCACTACTTTGCACCACATTTTTTTTTCTTTCTTTCTTTTCAGGTTGCTAGCACCACTTCTACTATTGGTAGTGATGCTTGAAAAAAGATCTCAGGTTTAAAGCCACACCCCTAATCTGCCTGCATCATAAAGAAGGGAATAGTTTTAAGTCTTAACAAAATCTAGATGGAAGCAAAGAAGAACTTTTAAAAGTCTCATTCCAGCAAAGCAAAAATAGCTGCTTCTTTTTTTCCTCCCATGAGGTTAATCTGAAATCCCAAAAAATTCTTACCCTTTTGCTGCCTTGATGGGTTGCCTTCAAACCTTGAATGTTTATATCATTAGACTCCATTAGGGATGTAAATATCATTCTTTTTTTTAAACATATCCATTTAACGTCTTTTAATTAAATGGTTAACTGATGGCATATGCCTAGTTCAGTGACATCTAGCAGGATGGCTATCATCCCAGCCACTTGCGTCTTCATCATGTGCCCAGTGCTGTGCATGCCCCAAACTGCTGGCGTGGAGCCTTGGGCTGGGGGTGGCAGATATGGCTGACTTGCTAGGGGGTGCTGCCCAACTGAGGAGCTGCAGCTTCCCCTCACTCCCATGGGCAGGGAACCTCACCTGTGCCCAGATCCCAAGGAGAGGGAGGGAGGTGCTGGGACCCCCAGGGGTTGCACAGGGCCTTCCTGCCACAGCAGCGAGGCTCCCAGCCCCACTGCAGCAGCAGGGCCCAGGCTAGATGATGGGCTCCCTGTGCCTCCTGCTGCACTCTTGCCACTGTGGCCCTGACCTGGGAGGCTCCTCTGTGCTGCTGGGCCAAGCCCTCCCCAGGCAAGCAGTAGTTTGGTCCCTTCCTGCTTCTGGCACTGGGGCCACATGAGGCCTGATCCAGCCCCGCAGTGGGCCTGAGCACATGGCTGGCTCCACCTGAGGAGGTGTCATGGCAGCTGCAGCGGGTGACACTGGATGTAAGGGGTTGCTGCCAGCCCCTTGTGTGGTTAGTGCAGCCCCTGGGTGTTCCTGAGGTTCCTGTTACAGCCCTGATGCTCCCCCCAGGATCCCTATTGCGCAGCCCTGCTATGCACTGGCCCCCGGGATGTCCTGGACCATGGTGGCATAAACATGGCAGGAGGTGTGGGTAGCCAGTCTCTTTGCCTCGGCCCCACTGCTGTGGGGGAGCTGGGCAGACCTTCTGTGGGATTGAGAGTCCTGCTGCTGCAGTGGGAATGCCCTGCCCGACCCCTGTGGGAGGGGCCAGCACCTCCCTCCCTCCCTCCCTCCCTGTGGTGGTGGGATCTGGGCACAGGAAAAGTCTGCAACCCCAGCCCATTTGTGGGGATGAAGGGAAGTTGCAGTTGGGCAGCACCTGGCTCTGCCGCACCCGCTGCCCCTGCCTGTGGCTCCTTGCTAGGAGGTACTGGGCATGTGCTGAAGACATCTGGTTCTGATATTTGGCCAAAAAACTTTTAAAAGGTAGGGATTTGAGTATCCAGCTTGATTCTTGTGTCTGATTGTTAGGGTTATTGAGCAACCACAAATTTGTTTTTAAGTCTTTGGGACTATGATTGTACAGTACCTCTGAAAATTAGATGTGCACAGATGCATCAGTCCATATCGTATGAGCACTGATAAGGAAAATAGATGTTCTCAGCAATTGGTTTTTTTTTTTGGCTGATGTGGCTGATAATGTTGCTGGTTGTGTGTGTTTTTTTTTTTTTTTTTTTTTTTTTTTTTTTTTAAATGCCACATTCATGTGGCCAGGAGTGCAGTCTTGCAGCTTGGAGAGTAGTATCCAGCCAGTAAGTCTGTGGGGGAGGGAAGGGGCATGGCAGGGGTAGATTGAGGTCCCCACGTGAGGGAAGGAGTGGGGCTGGGGCACGTGCTGCCTTAGCAGGGCATGGGATGGAGCCACAAGTGTACCTTGGGCAGGGAAGAGTTGGGGTGTAATGAAGGGGACACCAGCT